AATTTTGGGGCCGGAATTTTTTGGGGTGATTTTTGGGGCTGAATTTTGAAGGGTGAATTTTTTGGGCTGAACTTTGAAGAGTGAATTTTTTGGGGGTGAATCTCGTGACTGAAATTTTTGGGGTGCAATTCCTTGGGCTGAATTTTGAAGGGTGAATTTTTTGGGGTGAATCCTGACGGCCGGAATTGGAAGGGTGAATTTTGAAAAGTGAATTTTGAAAAGTGAATTTTGAAAGGCGAATTTCGAAAGGTGAATCCCGACGAGTCAAATTTGAAAGGTGAATTTTGAAAGGCGAAGTTTGCGAAGTGAATCCCGAAGGGTGAAATTTGAAAGGCGAATTCTGAAGGGTTGGATTTGGCGAGGTGAATCCTGAAGGTTGAAATTTGAGAATTGAATCCTGAAGGTTGAAATTTGAAAGGTTAAATCTGAAGGGCGGATCCTGAACGGTGAAATTTGAAAGGTGAATTTGGCGAGGTGAATCCTGAAGGGCGAATCCTGAAGTGTGACATTTGAAGGGCGAATCCTGAAGTGTGACATTTGAAGGGTGAATCCTGAAGGATGAAATTCCAAGGGCGAATCCTGAAGGGTGAAATTTGAAGGGTGAAATTTGAAGGGTGAATGTGGCGAGGTGGTTCCTGAAGGGTGAATTTGGCGAGGTGATAAGGGTTGGATTTGAAGGATGAAATTCGAAGGGCGAATCCTGCAGGGTGAATTTGGCGAGGTGAAATTTGAAGGATGAAGTTCGAAGGGCGGATCCTGAAAGGTGAATTTGGCGAGGTGAATCCTGAAGGATGAAGTTCGAAGGGCGGATCCTGAAAGGTGAATTTGGCGAGGTGAATCCTGAAGGATGAAGTTCGAAGGGCGGATCCTGCAGGGTGAATTTGGCGAGGTGAATCCTGAAGGATGAAGTTCGAAGGGCGAATCCCGCAGGACGGATCCTGAAAGGTGAATTTGGCGAGGTGAATCCTGAAGGATGAAATTTGAAGGGCGAATCCTGAAAGGTGAATTTGGCGAGGTGAATCCTGAAGGATGAAGTTCGAAGGGCAGATCCCGCAGGGCGAATCCTGAAAGGTGAATTTGGCGAGGTGAATCCCGAAGGATGAAGTTCGAAGGGCGGATCCTGAAAGGTGAATTTGGCGAGGTGAACCCCGAAGGATGAAGTTCGAAGGGCGGATCCTGCAGGGCGGACCCCGCCGGCCGCGATCCGCGCCGCCGATCCCGACGGGAGAAGCTCCGTCCGCGCCGGCGCCTCGGGCCCGGCGGCCGCGCTCCGAGGGGCTGAACCGGGGGGTCCCCGTCCCCTCGGGGTCCCGGCCGGGCGAACTCGGTGCGGAGGAGCCGCAGAGCCCCGGGCGGGGCCGCTTCCCCGCGGCGGCTCCGCGGGGCTCGGCTGCCCCCCGGCCCCTCAGGGGTGCAGGGGGCTGAGGGGCGCCGCGGCGCCCTTGAAGCAGGCGGACTCGTAGTGCTTGTTGAGATAGGATTTGAGGGCGAAGGTTTTGCTGCAGCGCTTGCACTTGAAGTGCTTGAAGGCCGAGTGGGTCTGCATGTGGGCGCGCAGGTTGGAGCGGTCGGCGAAGGCTTTGCCGCAGTGGGCGCAGCCGAACGGCTTCTCCCCGGTGTGCGAGCGCATGTGGCCCTGCAGCAGCCAGGGCCGGCTGAACGCCTTCCCGCACACCTGGCACTTGTGCTTCAGGTCGTGCGTCAGCAGGTGCATGGCCATGGCCGGCATGGAGACGTACACCTTGCCGCAGGTGGGGCATTTCTTGGCCATCTTGCTGTCCAGGCTGCGGTGGGTCTGCTTGTGGCGGCTGAGGTTGGACGAGGTGGCGTAGCTCTTGCCGCACTCGCCGCAGGTGTGGCGGGGCAGGCTCCGCGCCGCGCCGCCGCTCGCCTTGCGCCGGGAGCGGCCGTCCGTGATGAAGAAGGCGTCCACGGCGTAGCCCTCGCTGACGGCCGCGTCGCCGTTGATGTAGCCGCCGGCCATGCCCGAGTGCGGGCTGTCGGGGGGCTCCGAGTCGCCGGCGCCGAAGTCGCCGCGGCCGCCGGGGTAGAGCGAGGCCGGCGACGGCACCTTGAGCGCGGCCTCGGCGTCCCCCGGGAAGGACGAGGGGGCCATGTAGTCGCTGAGGTAACCTGGGGACGCGGGGGACAGCGGTCAGGGAGGCTGGTGGCACTGGGGACAGCGGTCAGAGGGGATGGTGGCACTGGTGGCACTGGGGACATGGGGGGACAGCCGGAGGAGAGCGGTCAGGGAGGGTGGTGGCACTGGTGGCACTGGGGACACGGGGGAACAGCCGGGGGACAGCGGTCAGAGAGGGTGGTGGCACTGGGGACACGGGGTGACAGCGGTCAGGGAGGGTGGTGGCACTGGGGACAGCGGTCAGGGAGGCTGGTGGCACTGGGGACACGGGGGGACAGCGGTCAGAGGGGCTGGTGGCACTGGGGACATGGAGGGACAGCCGGAGGAGAGCGGTCAGGGAGGGTGGTGGCATTGGGGACAGCAGGGGGACAGCGGGGGGACAGCGGTCAGTGAGGGTGGTGGCACTGGGGACAGCGGTCAGAGGGGATGGTGGCACTGGTGGCACTGGGGACAGAGGTCAGAGAGGTTGGTGGCACTGGTGGCACTGGGGACAGCAGTCAGAGGGGCTGGTGGCACTTGGGACACGCGTGGGGGTGGTGGTGAAGGGGGGGACATGATGGGGGCGCTGAGTGTCACCCTGTGTGCCCGTTCTGTGTCACCCTGGTTGTCCCCTGAGTGTTCCTTCTGTGTCACCCTGGTGTCCCTTGTGTGTCCCCTGTGTGTCCCTCTTGTGTCACCCTGGCTATTCCCTGTGTGTCCCCCTGCCTGTCCCCTGTGTGTCCCTCCTGTGTCCCCCTGCCTGTCCCCTGTGTGTCCCTCCTGTGTCCCCCTGGCCGTCTCATGCGTGTCCCTCCTGTGTCCCATGTGTGTCACCCTGCCTGTCCCATGTGTGTCCCGCGTGTGTCACCCTGCCTGTCCCCTGTGTCCCTTCTGTGTCCCCCTGGATGTCCCCTGTGTGTCCCTCCTATGTCACCCTGCCTGTCCCATGTGTGTCACCCTGGCTGTGTCCCTCCTGTGTCCTCCTGGCAGTTCCTTGTCCTCTGCCCCTTCCCTGTCCCTTCCCTGCCTGTCCCCGTTCTGTCCCCCCCTTCTGTCCCCCTTCCCGACCCCGGCCCATCCCCCTGCCAGACTGTGCCCGACTCAATTCCGGCCCTTGTCCCTTGTCCCCATCCCTGTCCCCATCCCTGTCCCTGTCCCTGTCCCTGTCCCCTTCTCCTGACGCTGTCCCCATCCCTGTCCCCGCAGTCCCGACCCCAGTCCATGTCCCTGTCCCTTGTCCCCATCCCTGCCATTGGTCACTGTCCCTTGCCTTGTCCCCATCACTGCCCGCATCTCCGTCCCCTGTCCCTTGTCCCCGCATTCCTGTCCCCATCCCTGTCCCTGTCCCTGTCCCATCCCTGTCCCTGTGTCCCTGTCCCTGTCCCTGTCCCTGTCCCTGTCCCCATCCCTGTCCCTGTCCCCATCGCTGCCGCATCTCTGCTCTGCTCCCTGTCCCTGTCGCTGTCCCCGCAGTCCGTGTCCCCTGTCCCCGTCCCTCCTTCCTCCATCCCCATCCCCGCATCGCTGCCGTCCTCCGCTGTCCCTCCCCGTGTCCCGCTGTCCGTTCCCGTGTCCCGCTGTCCCTTCCCCTGTCACTGTCCCCGTCCGTGCCCGCAGTCCCGGTCCCTGCCCCCGCATCCCGTCCGTTCCCGTGTCCGTCTGTCCGTTCCCGTGTCCCTCTGTCCCTCCTCGTGTCCCGCTGTCCCTTCCCGTGTCCCTCTGTCCCTTCCCCTGTCCCACTGTCCGTTCCCGTGTCCCGCTGTTGCTTCCCGTGTCCGTTTGTCTCTCCTCGTGTCCCGCTGTCCGTTCCCCTGTCCCGCTGTCCCTTTCCGAGTCCCGCTGTCCGTTCCCCTGTCCGTCTGTCCCTCCCCGTGTCCCGCTGTCCGTTCCCCTGTCCCGCTGTCCCTTTCCGTGTCCCGCTGTCCGTTCCCGTGTCCGTCTGTCCCTCTCCGTGTCCCTCTGTCTCTTCCCGTGTCCCCCTGTCCGTTCCTGTCTCCCGCTGTCCGTTCCCCTGTCCGTGTGTCCCTCCCCGTGTCCCTCTGTCTCTTCCCGTGTCCCCCTGTCCCTCCCCGTGTCCCGCTGTCCGTTCCCGTGTCCCGCTGTCCCTCCCCGTGTCCCGCTGTCCGTTCCCCTGTCCGTGTGTCCCTCCCCGTGTCCCGCTGTCCGTTCCCCCGCCGCCGTCCCGCTCCGTGCCCGCATTCCCGGGGCGCTCCCGCATTCCCGCATTCCCCGCCCGCCGCCGCCGCTGCCCCGGCCCCGCTCAAGGTCACGGCGGGGCCGGGCCGGGCCCGGTGCGGCTGC